GGAGTAGAAGCCTCTGGGTCACACGTGTGTCAACTCAAGTGACTGGAGTCCTAGACTCTTGGTGGAGAAACTCCGAAAAAGGGGATCTGTGGGTGCTCACATCAATTTACTAGTATTGATGGGTGATAGCAGTTTGGATAGAACTCGCCAGCATGGTTTGAGTCCCGGAGGCACACAAAAGGTTGAGGATAATTCTTGGAATTACTGGCAAAATTCTCAGAACACTCTGAAAGTTCCTCAGGCTGTGTCCATGTGAATGACCTTTCCTTTTCTTTATTCCTCCTTCCTATGGTGACCTCAGAGAGATGCCTTACCACCCTCTCCCTTCCAGTTCCCTGTTGGGAAGAAATTACTGATAAGTGTAATATGACTTTAATAATTACTAAAACTTACAAACAGAGGGGAGGGCATGTGCTTACAAATGTTCCTTGATGTTTGTGCCAAGGGTTGTTCAGAAGAGTAGAGATCTAATTCAGTGTTAGAACCACCAGTGCTGTCTAGCATGCAGATGGTTTATAAGGACCTAAATAAAATAAAAAAAAAAATACATCCAATAACTTTTGGAGGTCGTCTTTAAGCTACTAGAACAAAGCCTCTTTCTTAAGGGAGACTTCCCAGGCTTCCAAAGTATTTTACATGCTGTCCACCCAACTCAAAGTGAAGCCAAGGAGGGTTGCAGTAGCTTGGTAGGAGGATTTTCTTTTTAAAGTGAGTTTGCTAATCTGGAGGAAAAGGCCATATGAAAGCATTGCTTCCTTTTTCTGCTTCTGTTAGTTTAACTAAAGTTGATGACCTACAGATTTACTCTAAAATACTCTTCAGCCTAGGTAAACTTCTAAATGGTTGCAGTGCAAATCTGTTCGTAAAGAGTCACTGCATTCAGCACCGAGTGCAGGTTTTTCTGCTTTTTTTTTTGCAGTGTGGGTATTTTGGAAGCTGCGCTCAGTATCTCGCAGTGCTGCGGTGGTAGTTGTGGTGCGGAGCACTGATGCAGCCTTCCTTTGGAAGACAGATAGCGGGTTTCTGCAGAACTGAGAACAGTCATTCCAAGTGTACGTGTCTCTGTAGCAAAGGTCTCGGTAGGAGGCTGGAGTGGGGGAAGTCCTTTATTCTAATGTTCTTCCTCCTTCCTGTCCCAAGGGCGTCTTAGCTACAAGTGGAAAGTTCCCTGCGAGTTCCTTCCCGCTCCCCCCCTCCCCCAAATAGTCATGTTCAGTCTTTATTTAGGGACCCAAATAGTGACTAAAAGCCATTTTCAGTGAGTGTGCAGCAGTGTTTTAGGTGTGCAGTATCCTTTTTTCAGTAAGGACAAGTGTAGTTGATTACAAACGGGACTTCTGAAGTCTGAACCCATCTCTGGTGTCTCTGTGCTTGTTACAATAGCTTCAAATCTTTTTTTACCAGTTCCTCTGTCACTGCATCCTTTCTTCCCTGTCTCTTCCTCTGTGTCACCTAACTGTGTTTGGCAAGAGAGTTAGCAGCACTGCAGTGGTCTGAATTGTAGACCTGGTGAGGAGCCTGCCAGTTGGCCAACGCGCACGTTCATTGGAAACCAAACAGTGCAAAGAAGTTTGAGCTTCTCCTGTGGGCCTTCCCTCCATGGGGGTGTGGATTTGTTTCTCTAACTCATCTCGGGCTTTTCACAAAAATTCATTTTTTAGTACTTAGTGTTTTTCAGCCCCGATGTCTGTCTGTGGTCCCTGTTATGGGGGAGCACCTGGTGTGATGCTGAGGAGCAACTGGGGTGCAGCTGAGTGAGGCTGGAAGCAAAACTGGCTGTTAGATTTTGCTCATTCAACATAGTCAAACTTCAGATAGTCCTCACTTTGCCTGTAAAGCGGTATATTAATTTGGTCATTGGGGTGTGTTAATGAACAGCTGCAACAAGCTTATGCAAATTTATATGAAATTAGAGGATTGACGTATCAGGCAAGAGATCAGGGCACCTTTTTATTATTAAATTGACATTGAAATAGCTTAGGAAGGTACTAGATAACTTCAGCAGCAAAAGGAAAAGAAAGTAGCTGTTGCACTGGTAGCACAGCCTGTACGGTGGGCTGTGTGAATGCAGTTTAAAAAAGGCTTTAAAAAACACGGACACTTTTTGTGGTAAAGTAAGTAGGTAAATGACCAGAAACTTGAAGGTGGGTGGGAAATGATTGCAGTGTAGATGAATGAAAGGCCTTTGGTTACTTCTCTTAACTCGTTTGATCTAGTTGAGTTGCTCTTACAGTCAGAGTGTAGAACTGCTCTGTCACGGTGTGCGCGTGGGTTAATCTTTATCCATGTTCTTGAAAGAGAAATGGGAATAGCTAACACTGGAAATCACCTGGCTTATTCGGAAATGTACTTCTGGGAAAGTAGGTTTCATATCCAGCAGGGAAACGACTTTCTTCAAATCCAAGGCTTTCAGGGAAGCGGTGACGTTGCCGGTGGGTGTGGGGTGGTGAGGTTTCTTTAGCCACTGGGAGTTTAAGCATATGGAGATTTGTTCCCCTCAAGCCCTGTCCCTGTTACATGTTACAGTTCTAATTTGTCATTTTTTACACACCTCAGCTGGCAGCAGAAGCAGTGAAAACTGTTTTATAGACGTAGCTCAAGGATTTTGAAGATGAAGTTGGTGAGCTGCTGGCATTGAGGAATAGGTGTAAACAGGGCCAGACCTTTCCTGAAGGCCCAGAAGGATGCTGGCGTGCTCAGTGGATGGGCTGAGAGATGAGAATAGTAGTTACAGGCAGGCAGTAGGTCTGGGAGATCCTGAGGACCAGCTTGCATGTTGCTGCTTCTGCTTTTAGCTGGCTGGTGCCTGGATGGCTCCGCTGAGCACAGGGCTGGTGCTCACAAAGGGAGGATGCTGTGCCGAACGTGGAGCTTGCATGGCTTTACCGAGAGCATTGAGTCCATAAGTCTTGCTGCTCTTGTCCGTCGTGTTTGTTTGATGTGTTTTGGTTTTTTTTCTGCATATGTGCAATCCCTAACTTTCTCTTTTCCCTTCCCTTCTGCAGGCTGCCCTCGGGAGAGGCAGTGGGAGGCAGTGGAGCTGGCCTCGGCACCGGGAGAGGCTGGACTTCCCGTCTCTCTGTGCTGAATGGCTGCGATGGCGCCCGCTCTCACTGACGCAGCAGCTGAAGCTCACCACATCCGATTCAAGCTGGCTCCCCCGTCCTCCACCTTGTCGCCTGGCAGTGCCGAGAGCAACGGCAACGCCAACAACATCCTCCTGGCTGCCAACGGCACCAAAAGGAAAGCCATTGCTCCGGAGGATTCCAGTTTAGATTTCCGAAACAACCCTACGAAGGAAGAGCTGGGCAAGCTGCAGCCACTAGTGGCCTCTTATCTCTGCTCGGATGTAACATCTGTTTCTTCAAAAGAGCCTCTGAAGCTGCAAGGAGTCTTCAACAAGCAGACAGTCCTTAAATCTCACTCTCTCTTATCTCAGTCCTTCTTGAAAACAAGTGATCTGTTGGGGAGGCAACCAGTGTTGGAATTCACTTTGGAGAATCTAAAAACAATGAGTACTAATAGCCAGCCACCTCTCCCGCAAGCGCCTGTGAATGGCTTGGCCAAGAAATTGGCCAAAAGTACCAATTCAGACCACGAAAACTCTAGTTCCCTGAATGGTGGGAAGTGTGCTCCTCCTTCTGCTGCCCTCCAGGGTGTTGACTATAATGCAGGAGGTTCCGAATTGGGGGACTTGAAGACCGGGTTGACCAATTGCACTCTTCCACATAGAAGCCTTGATGCAGAGCACACAACTCCGTTTAGCAATAATAGCACTGCAAACAAATCTTCCCTCAATTCCATGGAGCAACAGCGGGTGCTCGAGGGTGGCAGTGGAGAGACGAGGTTGCCCGGTGTGGCTAGTCACTCTGACTTTGGGAGCAGTAAGTTGGAGGAGCAGAAGCCCTCTCTGTCGGCCTGTCACTACAGTGCTCTCGACTCCGAGATGAGGACGAGGGCATTGCTGCGGCGGCAGGTGGACATTGAGAACCGTGCCCGCAGGCTGCAGAAGCGCTTGCAGGTGGTGCAGGCAAAGCAGGTGGAGAGACACATCCAGCAGCAGTTGGGTGGCTTTTTGGAGAAAACTCTGAGCAAGCTTCCAACTTTGGACCCCCTGAGGCATCGGAGCCAGCTGATGTTGACCAGAAAAGCAGAAGCAGCCTTGAGGAAAGCTGCGAGTGAGACAGTTACTTCAGAAGGCCTAAGCAGCTTCTTGAAGAGCGATTCGATATCGGAAGAACTGGAGAGATTCACGGCCAGTGGTATGGCCAACTTGAGATCCAGTGAACAAGCGTTTGACTCGGATGTCACTGACAGCAGCTCGGGAGGAGAGTCTGACGTCGAAGAAGAGGAACTGACCAAAGCAGACCCAGAACAACCCCACGTACCACTGTAAGTAGCAGTCATGCTTTGCTTACCTCTGGTGGGGGGAGAGCAAGGTGAAAGGCGGCAGATGAAAAACCTGGTTTTTGTAGGAATGCTTCTTTTTTCATGGCTTTAGATCAAAGAAGTAATTGTTAAAACTAGTGTGGTGTGATGTGCAGCACATTTCCAGTTCAGGGCACACATGCAACGTTGAAGATAAAATTCTTCATGCGCACGATAGTCCTTGGTGTTCTTGTGGAGCAGCAAGTCCTGGAAGTGCTGGCTGGCTGGAGTGGTGGAAGCATGCTGCAGATACAAACCCGAAATACTGTTATGATGTGTCGGACCTGTCCCCTGAAATGAAATGTTTGTCTTTTTACAGTGGGAGTCTTTGTTGTAAACCAGTTGTATAAAGTAAGGCCAGTTTCAGTCTTACTGGCTGACAGCATACTTGTGACTGGGGAATTTTTTTTTGTTGTCGTTGTTAAACAAACTGTCTGGAAAAAAAACTCTGAAAGGATTTGGTCCAAATGCCAGTGGAAGTGTGAGGTGAGCGTGTTCTCTTCTTGAACCTGGGAAATCGTTGTTGAGAATTTTCTTCTGTCTGTGAGTTGCATTAAGTGATGACAACAGCCTCCTAATTATGTTGTTAACTGAAGGCTGTTTGCGTAAGTGGTAGGTGTCAATTTGTGTGTGGAGGAGGAAGATCCTTGTCAAGGGAGAAGTTTTGAGACAGGTCAAGGAAGAAGGGAAATTTTTCTTCCAAAATTCCCAAGAATTTTCCCTAGGAGTGCATATCACAGTATTCTGTGCAAATCTCTTAAAAGGCCATATTCTGTGTCTAGTCTGTGTAAAATCTTGCTTGCATCAGTAGATGATCTCTTCCACCCTGATGGACCTATTGAACTTAAACCTCAGTCTGTGAAGTACAGCTACGGTCAACAAAAAGCTCCCTGCAGCAGTCACAGGGGTCCCGTTTGGAATGTGGATGGCTTTTCGATCAAGGCTGGGAATAGTCACCAGGGCTTTTGCATACCTGTGCTATTCTGGGTTTGTTCAGATCTCTGTGGAGAAATAACCAACTTATTTTGATACCTGTTGTCCCAAGTAACGTTAACGGCTGGTGGAGTGCTGAGTGTCACACGTTTTACTGAGCTGGGTAGGTGGATGTGAACAGCACGTGTGCTGGGTAACTTCATCATCCTCCAAAACCACGCTTACATGGATGTGTGCTGATAAACAGATGTTACTGCTCTTGCATATTAAATTCCAGCTAAATGTCACGTCATGTTTTGGGATGTTAGCATAGGATGAATTTCTGTATGTGAAGTCTTAAACGTGGCAGGAGTTGGGCTTTCTCCCAGTGCAAAGCCAGTAGCTGAGCATGTGATCCCTGCTGGCTGGACATAAAGGCGTTCTTGTGCTGTTGGAAAAGAGAGGTTAAGAACTTTATTCCTGTTTTATAATGTCCACAAACTTAACTGTTGGGATTAGTAGTAAAATTGTATTTATGAGTATTGTAATAGTTATTAGAGGAGACATTTGATTACAATTCTGTTGAAAGTAATATTAAATATTCCATATTTTGGGTTTCATAGATTTGCATATTGTCTAGAAAAGTGAAATTTCTTTGCCACTCGTCTTAATCCCAAGAGGAAGTGTGGTATACGGAGACACGATGCGTGAAATTCTTTGCTGCCTTTCCTGCCCTTTGTGTTAGTCATGCCTTTACATTCCCCAACTTCCCGAGTACTCTTAAAAAGCCAAAGATTTCCAAGCTAGTAAAGAGAACCATCCTTCTATTGTCCGTCGGTGCAGAAGCTGGTGTGTATGCATGCTGGCATCTAGGCCAGGCCCACCAAACATCGTTTAAAGTTTATGCCTGTGGGTATTTAGTAATTAGTCTTCCCAGCATTGACTGTCCTGTTGGCATGAGTGCTTTGACATTGGGTCTCACGAGCTCTGGCGTTACTGAAGTTGAGGCTGAAGACACGTTTGTGCTTGTTAGCGAAACTCCTGAGGTCAACCTTAAGAGCTGGTACAAGTGTCTGAGTGCATCTAAATATCATTCTTTTCAAAGTAGTGCTGAGAGACAGGAAGGGGAAGAGCTGACTTTTCCACTGGGAAGCCGCCTTGGGCCAGCCTGTTGTACAGAACCATTGTTTTGTGCGAGCACAGAAAGCAAAGGCTTTTTGCAGGGTTCCTCAGGTACGGCTGCATTTTGCAGCTTGTTGAATGTACTTAGAATCACAGAATGGTTGGGGTTGGAAGGGACCTAAAAGATCATCCAGTTCCACCCCCCCTGCCATGGGCAGGGAAACCCGCCACTGCAGCAGGTTGCCCAACTTACTAGAGGGAAGACTTTCACTTATTAGAGGGAAGACTTTTACCTTGATTATTTGAGTTTTGCTAGTGAGATGGAGTGTCTTAATGAGTGTAAAAACTTCTGTCTCATCCCTCAGCCGAAATCCCTTGACTATGCATTGCTCCTGGGTGCCTCTGCCTTCCCCCAAGAAACTGCTTGCTTGCTTCGAGACCTTTAGTGAGAGTTATGCTACAAACACTGTGTCTTGTAGCTTGCTTGCAGTAAGTGGCCATGTCACCGACTGCCTCTGGGATTCAAGTAGAAGCATGCAAAAGAAACAAAGACGTGTTTACATCATGCTCAGATAAGAGCCGACCTTTGAGTTTTTCTGGCATGGTGGCATTCCATAATCAGTGTCTGGTCAAGGACTTCGAAGCATTTGTACTGTTCTGGCCTGCCTGATCTTGGCTGTAGAGCAGCATCTCCCTGAGGAATTGCATCTTTGCAGTAGTGTTAGGGATCTATCAGAACTTGGTAGGTCCTTCTAAAGCACTGGTAGACCTGCTGCCCGGGAAGGTGCCGTCATTCAGGTGCGTAACCAGGCCATCATGTGATGCATAAACAAAGCAGGGAGGTTTTCGTTACACCTCTGTTGGGAAGCCCTGCCAGCTATGGGCTTGGTTTAACAAGGCACTCTTGATTCTTCTGCAGCTGATGGGGCAACAAAGCGCGTGCAGACAGGGTTGGTTCGTGATGCCATGGTTGGATCTTGGCTTTATGCGGATCAAGGACCACTACGTTGCGTTCTGTTTGCTCTCAGGTCAATAATACACAACTCTGCTCCACAGCTGGGATCCGCTTATGCGTCGCTCCAGAAGCGTGTGCGGTGGCAGGGTTAGGATCAAGAGAAGCTTTGCCTCTGCTCGGTGGTGACGACGGCAGGTTGGTCGGTGGTGACGAAGGCAGGTTGGAGCCTCTCCTGTGGATCATCCTACTGCACGTCGGTGGCTGGGTGTGACCGTGGGCAGCAGCTGTCTGCGACTGCGAAACCCGTGAGCCCAGATGCTGTTGTCAGCGTGGTGGGATCAGGAACTGCTGTTTGTGGAAGGTTGCTCGGAGCAGGGTGTGCGGATTCCTCCCAGTGCTGGAGGGGTGCTGGCTGCGGGATGGTTTAGCGTGTAATCAGCATCCTCGTTTCTGTGGCCCTGTACTAATACATATACGTAGGAAATATTTCATGTGGCTTGTGCATCTTGAGAGTAGTTGCTCTTCTCACATGGGTCAATTCCTTTGGTTGTCTTGCATTTGACTGTAGACTAGTTTCATCAGAATTATTTTTGGCTGATTAGTTACCTGTGCTGAGCAGCAACGTAGTCATTAGCTGGTGAGTGGTGTGTGATTTAGTCTCGGCAATCCTCAACTTCAACCTGTGTGCCATGGAAAAAGTTTTGAAACGGTAGTGAAAACATATTTAATTGGAACTTACCTTTTAGTTCAGGTTTCTCATCTGGAAAGTCACTGTTTTGATGGCAGTTACATCAAGCTGCTGAGAGTGAACTGAAATTCCGGGGACAGACTTCTCACACCACCTTTTAGAAGGGTCAGGCAGTACCTACCGCGTGTCCACTTGTGGTTGGGATGCCGATGGCCACGATGCCTGAGCTCACTTCAGTTATCCCCATTTACCGGTGGGAAATCCGGGCACCTTCTACTCTTCGTTGCTGGCAGTGAATCATTTCCCAGCCTTGGAGCCTGTGTGTGGGCTCCTCCCTGCGCTGCCTGGATTCCAGAATTGCTGGACTTGGAGTAGCAATGAAGATTTCTCACTAAGTGCTTTTGTCAGCGCTACTTTCAAAGTCCTGTGTTGGAGAGGGATGCATGTGGCACTTGCATCAGTGGTTATCTGAGGTAGTTTGCAGCTGGTGCATCAGTTGGCTGAGAAATAGGATTTTAGAAATTCTGATTTTTCTCCCTTGATTACATTTTTCAAGCGAGAGCATGATAAGGAAGCCTGGTCTCAAGGGCTATTAAATACCATTTCTCAAATCTATGACTTCATGGAGCTGTAATTCAGACTGCAAATCCCACACTGTGAGGACTGAGGAATCTTTTCCTACTGGTCACAAACACATTTCACTGACTTTGATTTATGCAGAGCAATCCTAAAAGTTTGTCTCTACTCTTTCTGACTTTTTCAGTTACCTGCTTGGCCTTTTGTGGTGTTTTTCTTGTTCTTGACTTCCAGCTGTGCTTGTAGGTACTGATGACAGCACAGTGCTTAACCTTTTATTTTTCAGCGATTTATGAAAACTTGCATTACGTCGTACCTGAATTGCTCATAATCCACGTGCTGCTCAGCAGCCATACGTTGGTCAAGAGAGACGTCCCTCAACTGTCTTTTGGTTGGGAAGAGAGAAAGAGAGCAAATCCTGAGCATGTTCTTGCTTTGCATTTGAAAGCAGAATAGCAGAGAGCAGTTCATTGTTCAAAAACGCTTAATCAGGTATCCAGAGTAAGTAGGACACTCTGCAAGTCCCTCTTGCTTTTAAGAAAAGAGGGCAAGTGAGAACGCTGCTTGAGAAAGATGTTAAGAAAAACAAGTTGGTTAATATTGTAAGAAACACTGGTCTTCATCCCCCTTTTATGGATACAATGGATGCCTGATACGTTGTTTCTGACTTTTATTCGAGCCTTTGTTCTCGTGCAGACCTCGCTGGAGTAC